GGGCGGCGAGGCCCTGGCGAGGTACGTGTCCTTCCCCTCGGCATCCCCGCTCCTGTCCCGCCTGCCCTCACCCTCTCCCCGTCCGCAAGTGCCCTCCGTGACCCTGTCTCACCCGTCCCCGACCTCCTCTGCCCTCCAGGATGTTCGCCGCCTACCCCCAGACCAAGACCTACTTCCCCCACTTCGACCTGTCCCCAGGGTCCGCTCAGGTCAAGGGGCACGGCAAGAAGGTGGCGACCGCCCTGGTCGAGGCTGCCAACAACATCGATGACATCGCAGGTGCCCTCTCCAAGCTCAGCGACCTCCACGCCCAAAAACTCCGTGTGGACCCCGTCAACTTCAAAGTGAGCCCGGGGAAGGGGTCACCAGCCCCACTGCTCCCCTGCGCCCGCCCCGGCTGCCCCCTCACCTCTCCTCCTTTTGCTCACCATCTCCTTTTGCCTTTCAGCTGCTGGGCCACTGCTTCCTGGTGGTGGTGGCCATCCACCACCCCTCTGTCCTGACCCCGGAGGTCCATGCTTCCCTGGACAAGTTCCTATGTGCCGTGGGCACCGTGCTGACCGCCAAGTACCGTTAAGACGGCACCGTGGCTGGAGCTGGAGCTGGACCCGACCCCACCACCAGCCTTCTGACAGTGAGCAGCCAAATGATCTGAAATAAAATCCATTGCATTTGTGCTCCAGCCCCAGCGTCCTGCTCTGGTTCCTGCCTGCGCCGAGGGAGCGGGAGGGATCTGCTCTGGGGGTCTGAACTGGGGGTTTCCCCCTGTCAGGTGGGCAGCTGGAGGAAACGGGCTCTGGTTTGGCTGTTTCTGAGGGAAGGCAGTGCTTGGGTGGTGGTGCTGGTCAGACAGGCACTGCTCTGCCAGCTGTGGGGCTCTGGGAGCAAGCAGAAAACTTCCAGGCACTGGTGGAGGAGAAAGACTGGCAGATAATGGCCAGAGCCCTGTGCTTGGGAGCTCCTTGCAGCCCCAGCCTGTCCTGGGCATTTTACCAGAACATCATGCCGGGATCCTTCCTTGCCTGTGCAGGCCAAATTGCTGGAGAACATCTCCTCCTGGAAGTGCTTATGGGAGACAGTGGGGTACAGGGCCTCCTGGTGCCTGTGACCCTCTGTGTGGTGACACAGCAAGGGTGCCCTGAGGACCTTCAAGCACAAGGGCATCTTTCTGTGCACCCTCAGCATGCAGGGGGATTCCTTCTGTTTCCACCTAATGCTGCATTGCTGAGGTGTCACTTTGCTGGGAGAGACAGTAGGCAGGGGAGATGGCAAGGGGAGCAGCTGGGATTCGGCCACAGAACGTGGGCTTTGGGACCTGAATCATAGTAGTGTGAGGGCAGGAAAAGCAGCACCAGCAGCGAAGGGGCACTGGGTGCTGCAGTGCTGGTGCCTGCACAGCCCCCAGCCCTTATCACAGCCCACAGCAGGGTGGCTGTGGCAGGGGGGGTGTTGGGGGGCTGATAAAGGAGAGTGTAGGCTCTCCTCCAGCTGTGGGTGTGGTGGGAGATGGGGCAGCAGATAGTCCCAAGGGGCTACAACTAGCCAGGTGCTGAGTAAGGCTGCCCTGCCCTGGCCAGGGCTGGGTGGTGCTTGGTGCCAGGGTGAAGATTTGAAAAAGCCCTGGGGCAGCTGGGGTGGTCACAGCCCAGAGCCCAGCCATGGTGGCCATGGGCCCCTTCACTCCCTGGCACTTGTAAGGGTAGGCACTTGCTCTAGACACCATCAGTGAAGGCATTGGAGGCTGGAAGGGCCTTCCTGACTCCCCAGAGTCATGTGAGGTCTCCCCAGGCTTTCTCCTGCAAAGCACCACAGGCATCATGACCCCGTATTCCTGCCACACCTGGGCAGGGTGAAGAGGGGAAGAGAAAGCTGGGCAAGGCATTTCTGACTAACCTGATCTACCTTTGCTTGGAGCAGGTCCCAGAGTGGGCACAGCTCTGCTCCACGGAGAGCCTCAGCTGCCTGGGGAGTTGGAGGGGAGCAGGGACATAGTGAGGGGTGTCAGGGGACAGAGCAGTGTGTGCTAGTGTGTAAAGCACTGGAAGAGCCAGCAGCAAATCCAGAACAGCTCCAAACCCAGCCACAGGGCACCCTCATGGTGTCCCTATGCACAAGGTGTAAAAGCAACGTGGGGGACAGTGAGTGTGTGGAGGGGAGAGGGCTGGCAGTTGTCCCCACCGCCTCTGCCAGGCTTTTGCTTCCAACCATGTTGTGCCCTCAGGCAGGACACGGTGTGTGGCAGTGGGCAGTGTCCTGGCTCTGCAGCACTTTCCCAGGGCTCTGCCTGGCCAAAGAACCGCTGAGCTCTGAAGAGCTGGGACGAGTTTTGTCCCGGCCGTTTGTCCCAGCTGCCACCAGATGGGGACCTCAAGCCGTGGTGTTTTATCGGGGCCAGGCAGTGGGTGCTGAGGACCAAGCCTTGGTCCTGCCTGCTGAGCTGGAGCCTCCGGCCATGGAGAAGCAGGCTGCCATGACAGCTTCCAGTCAGCCCCAGGTTCTGAGCACACTGGGGACACTGGTGCCAGCTTGGAGGGGTGCAGGAACCCAACCCAGCCCCTGTCCAGTGCTGAGTCCAGCAGCCAAGCACCCCATGACACATGGCAAAGGGTCATTTGAGCCTTGGGCTCCCTTCTCTGGCCATCCCTTGGTGGCCATGGCTTCGTTTGTCCCAGGACACAGCCTGTGCCACGGGCAGGACAGGTTGGCAGCAGCTTTCTACAGCTTGGCTCTCCCTGACCTCCTGTTCCTGCCCAGCTGCCTGGGGACCCACAGGCAGAGCAGAGGCAGTGGTAAAACATTTCCTCTGCTGCCTGCCCAGGTTGGTTTTGCAGCTTGTTTTGGTGCAGCCCTGGTGCTGATGAGGTGGAGGCAACTCCTGCATGGCCACAGCAGCCCAAAATGACACCAGGAGACGTGGAGGAGCTGGACTTGGGGGGTCTCAGTGCTCAAGAGGCACAGTCACAGCAGGCAGCTTTAGGGGAAGAAGGAAGAAGAACATCTTCAGGTGAGAAAAAAGGCTGTTCTGATGCCTCCACTGTCTGAAGGCCTTTCTCACCACTCATCATCATTTATTTTTGATGGACAAAGCATCTATGGTTCAAAGATACCCACAGAGCAACATGGTATTTTGTCACGTGATAGTCACCAAGGCAAGTGGCATCTCAGAGCTCATTTTTTTTTTTTTTTGGAAGAAGAACTAAAATGACATCAGGAAATAACCTTAATAGTTACAACTTAACCTCATCACAACACTTTACCAGTCTCCTGAGGGGCTGCAAGCAGCTGTTGTCCAGGTAGCTTGGATACTATTTTTATCAGCATCTGATAAATAGTCATGGCCCAAGAGGGTGTGCCCTGGAAACAGACACAGAAGCACATACTCCTGAAGGAAATCAAGCATCCTAGAAGAATTTGCCAGGAATTTCCCATTCAAAATTCAGCAGAGGAGTAGGAAGACACGGGATTTATTTCTTACTGGGAACTGATCTTAGGACACCAGTTGAGAGGTTCTCTTGCTGAAAAGAGGAGGGAAAACATCACATGTTTTACAAACTGTTCTTCTATTTATACATCCCATGTTGGCATTCAGTGTTCCAGCAGCCTAGCTCATGACTGGTGCAGCCTATAGGTCTTTTGCTGAAAAATTGTTGCAGGAGCAGCTTGTTTGCCACATATTTGGACAGTTACTCTTTCATCATGTCAGATGTTTCCATACCAAACTGATCTCCCTTCCCTGATTTGTCTGGAACGTGGTGAATTTTAACCCCATGCTTTGGGGTGCTCACAGACCCTGCAGCTCAGGCACATCTGTGAATTTAATAAGCACATTCTCCTTTACAAAACATAAGATATTGATGAAGAAACAGTGAATAATAATACTCAACCAAGGACAGGAAGCTGCCACAGAAGGAAAACAGACTCATCTGAAATGATTCATTCCTGGCAATGGCCACGGTTATTACTCATCTCTTTCTTTGATTAAATGTCCCTCTGTTGTGTTGAGGTTTGGTTTGTTGGGGTTTTTTTTGTGACTTGAAGTTGACTGGTTTATAGTTCCTTGGTTTCCTCCTTTTACCCTGCTAATGAGAAGAGACCCTCTCATCTCATCTCTGCAACAGCAGAGTCCACAGCAGCAGTAACAGCAATTTCAGAGGGTACAATCCTGCCTGTTGCCTCCAGTATCTGTTTGTTGACCTGCCCATGAGTTTGCTATACCCTTTCTAAACCTGCTGATCCTATTTGTTTCCACAACCTCCTGTGGCAGCAAGTTCCAGAAGTTCATTCTCCCCCTGCTCCCTATAAAGTCCCTTTTATCCATTTTAAACCAATCTACTAGACTCATCTATGACCTCTTATTGCAGACCCTGATCAGCACCAGGTCCACATTCACTTCATGGTTTTGTAATGTTGGTCCTTTTGGCTCCCCCTTCTCCAGGGAAAAATCCCAGTCTTTCCAGGACCTCCTCATCCCACAGCTGCCCTGTCTGCTTGATCATCTCAGTTGCCTGGGTCAGGACCCTGTGTCCTTAGATCCAGAGGCCAGAACTGCACAGAGGTGGGTGCACCCACCTGTTACACAGCCAGCAAAAGCTGCCCTCTCTTGTTTTGAGAGCCCTTCCTGATGTCATCACACATTTTGCAGGCTTTTTGGTGTACATCAAGGCTACAATTTTGATCAACCACCTATGAGAGCTCCAGAATCTTTTCCCTGAGATGTAAGAGCCAGTTTAAGTTCAACCTCCTCTGTTTTAGATCATATTTCCCTGACTGTGTCACTTTACATCTATTTACACTGAAACATCTGACCTCCTGGTTTCAATGCTCCATGGAGTATATCAAACAGCCCTGCAGCAATCTCCTGCAGTGATGGACCATCAGCTGATGTGAAAGCACTTGGATGGTTGGTCAATATTCCAGGAACACGATTCTTCATTATACTTCTCCTTTTCACATCCCCTGACACAGGGACTTGGATGGGCAATGAGCTGCTGGGTAGACACAACTCAACAAGGATCTGAGTGGAGGTGGTTAAAGCACAGTGGTTTTTAGTCCTTGAACCAGAACCAGACAAACAGAGATGGGGGAGCAGCCTGTGCCAGCTCTGTGCTCTCCAGAGACCCTTGCACATGGCCAAGAGGATCCCAGCTATGGATTTATGGAAAGCAATATAGCAAAATGTGCATTGCAGCTGCTCAGCCAGAAAGCTTTTGTACCTCCTTCAATGGTTGAGCAGCTGAGTGCCATTATTAATAGTAGAAGTGTATTTATCAAAATCCATGGGTCAGCATTGTTAAAGCTCCACAGATTCAATTTGGACAGGCCACCATTATTTATGTTTCCAGATCGTAGCTTCAAATGGGGTTATTTTCAGTATATAGCCCAGATTTCCTCCAGCTTGAAAAACTCTCAGAGATACACTCTCCAGAGCAGGGACTTTCCCCTTGTGCCTGACTTCCTGAGGAGGGGCTGAGCTTGAGGACCTAGGGACCAAAGAGCAAAAAGTAGATGTGGTGACCCCAAGGCATCACCTGCACTAATGTCAGCCAGGTGTGTCCCTGAGCTGGACAGAAGCCCTGGCCTCGGCACAGCTGGGCCCCCCGGGTTTGGGCAGGGACAGAAGTTCACCAGCTGTGGGTTAAGCATTGCAATTTTTGTAGCCACCACAAGAGGAGACAAGATACC